AATTGCAGACCAATTTGTGTCACCGAGTCCATCTAGTTGCTGTGAATGGCCTTCCAAGGGCTGGGCCGACGGCTGGCCCGAGGGCGGACTGCTTCAGGCGACGAAGGCCGAAGGGTGTTGCAGGCTGGCAATCATCACGTAGAAATTGGATCAAGAAAGCGCGTCGAGGTGGTGGTGGTGGTGGTGGGGCGGTGGTGGCGGTGATGGTGGGGGGAGCGCGATGGTGGGACAAGGAGGCTCTGATGGTAGATAAGACAAACCGACCTGGGGGAGTGTCCCGTCCTTCCCGGCCACTCCAATAGGTAATGAGGTCAACACTCTTGGTCCGGCATGGTCGCACCGGGTGGACACACCAAATGTTGTTTCGTCTCCTTGTTGCTGTTGGTGTTGTTGCTGCTGCTGTTGTTTAAAAACGGGACCCTGCTTCCCAAATCCAGCCCCGAGATAACAAAAAAAAGCGCCCACGTGCTGCGCCGCTTCTCACCGTGTAAATTGATAGCGGAACAGTAGCTGTGTGTACTTGTCACCGCCCGCTAGATTACGTTCCCACAAGACGCGCTGCTTGCGTTTCATTGCGACAAGGCGGTGCTTTTATGAGCGGCGTCGTGCAAATAACACGTCTCTATTTACAGGCGGTGCCAACTGCCAATAACGTTTCTTCATCCCTCCTGATAGGTGTGAGCGCCGTAACGCGTCGAGTCGTTATCCGCACGCCGCAGCCTGCCGCAGCGCGAGGGCGGCACTAAAAGCTGTTTTTACTTTTCGGTTCTCTTTATAGACGGTTTGCTTGGAGTCTACGAAACTGAGGGCAGAAAACACGCAGGCATAGCAAAAAAAGCACACGTTATCTTGAAGGCTGACAAACGGGTTGATAATTGTGCGTGAATAAACTTTCATATTCTGACGCGATCCTTCAGCAATTACCGACTCCAGAGTGTGAACCACCTCCCAGGAATTCTCACACAGCCGCAACGCGACGACAGCTGTTGCGAGCCGATGACAGAGTGCCGCGAGCGAAAACTCGAACACGCGTTCACATTACCGAGTCTGTTAAAACAACTGCACTACGACGAGAGAGAGAGAGAGGAAAGCTTCGGAAAACAAACCGTCACCGTTTCCTTTACTTTTCAATTCAAACTAGTCACGCCGGCGAGCGGCCGCGCCGGAACCTTCAAGCGCAGACATTATGCACGTCCAATTGCTGTCAGCAGCGGCTCAGTTCTTGTCAGCAAAGTCCTCGTGTGTGTGTGTGTGTGTGTGTGTGTGTGTGTGTGTGTGTGTGTGTGTGTGTGTGTGTGTGTGTGTGTGTGTGTGTTGGCATAAGTATTCGAGTATGCGAGTGAGGTGAAGGAAGGTGTGTGTGCGTGCGTGTGGGTGTGTTTGCTGAATCACCCCCAGTGGACGGGCTTCAGGACACAGCCCCGTGAGTTTCATATAATTGCAAATTAACAGCCAGACTACACGCGCGGGATCGTACTTTGCAAAGCGAGCGCGCATATTCATAGCGAAGGATTAGTCCTCCGCAGTCCGACACCTTTCCGTCTGCGGAGGCGGGAAGTTTGCCCCGCCATTCGCGGGGAGGGAGGGGGAATTTCCCTCCGGGCAGAGATATTTCCCACAGACGATTTCTTTCAACAACAACAAAACAATCTTAAGAGCTCCTAGAGAAAAGCTCTCTAGAGTTAAATATGGTCAGGTAAACTTTCCTGATTATGTCGTAAAGTTAGAGGGTGCAGGAGGGGAAAAATACACCAGTTCGTTTCAAACCGTCACTTGTTCAAGGTGTGACTCTTCTTGTACTTGCTCTTCCCCCTCCCTTTCCTATCCAAAAGCTAAACGGCCGTCTCGCAGTTTGCGTACGCGCCCCCAAGTCCGCACATCGAGGGCAGGCCGCCGGCAGGGTGTGACAGGGTTAACCCTCCCCTCGCTGCCCCTCGCTGCCCCGCGCTGCCCCGCGGCGTCGTCGTCCCTACCCCCCTCCCTCTTCCCCATGCCACGCGAGAGTGATCCTAAGCCCACACGCACCTAGGTGGATGTGTAGCGGGAGGAGCAGCAACCCTTGATTCCGCGTCTGTCTCCCTCAGTAATGGAACTGTGAATGTTTTAGCGGGCGGTGATCACGGCAAGGCAACGGCGAGGCGGGCGCCTCTCGCCCGCGGACACACACACACACACACACACACACACACACACACACACACACACACACACACACACACACACACACACACACACACACACACACACACACACACACACACACACACGGTTTCACCCTGAGAATTAGGAACGCCCGCACCCCCACCGACCGCAAAACTTCTCGGGCTGTGCCTTTTTTTTGGTCTGTTATTGTTTTATTTTTAAATTCACCAGACAAAGATTTATTTTCACGTATTTTTCTTTCCGGGCGGCGGGATGGAACGACGCACCGCACGGTTAAAAAGGAGTAGACGAGACGACGACAACAACAACAAAAATATTGCAGCGCGGGACCCAAAATGCGCGCGCTTTTCCTGGTGTAGCTGCACAGGAGCGGAGAATTTATGGAATCTCTAAGGAGCGTGTCTGCGTGCGTGCGTGCGTGTGTGTGTGTGTGTGACTTTGCACACGTGTGTTGCTGCTGTTGTTGTTGCTCTTCTTGTTTGCTCGTCGTGAAGATGATATGATGAATCCGCACAGCAAAGCTCCTGCTCATATGCGCCCGGATTTACACAGTTCCGACCAGGGTTTTAGTTTTAATTAAAGTCTGCTGTTATTCGTGTGGTTCCGGTTGCTTGTGAGTGTGTTGGTGAGGCTAAGTCTGCCGAGGGGAGATGGTCGCGGTGAATACGAAAGCTCACAGTGTGTCTTGCTGGGCACGCCCGCCTCGCAAAGGGTAGGCAACCCCTGTGGCAGCTCCAGACTCGGTCCCCTGTTCGTGCCTTTGCTGCCTTGGCTTGTCGGAAGTCGTAGGGACTCGGACGGGGTGCCCGCGGGGGTGGAGGTTGGGCGCTAGGGGCAGGAGAAGGAGGGAGGGGGAGGGGGAAGGCCCAGCTCTGCTGTATCCCGCCTTCGAAACGAGAAGAATGAAAATAAACAAGGCCTAGCTGGATATCGTAGCGAAGACTCCCTCTTTGTCTTGGAGCGAGAAAAGGGCAACACCTCTCTCTTACCTTTGCGCCCGGCGCTTCGCTCTCCGTTCCCGCGCCGCCGCCCCGCCCCGCCCCCCCCCGCCCGCCCCGCCCCCCCGCCCGCCCGCGCCGCCGCGCCCCGCCCTACCCCACCCCGCCCCTGCAGCCGGCACGACCCGAGGAACCGCGTCCCGCGGATTTGCTGGTGGGGATTGCTTCCGAAGATCTCGATCGCCTGGAAGTCTGGGAGCGTGGCGGCGCTGTCCCGCCGAGCTCTTGTTTCCCTGTTTCATTTTTTTTTTGCTTCGTTATTTTTTCTCCTTTTTCATGCTACTTATCAGCACGACTTGGCCTGGCCTCCTCCCCGTGCACTTCTTGATGCTCATCGTGCATCTCCTTCCCTCTGCCTGCAAAGCGCTGCAGCACCGCCGGGGGAAACGGCGGGGGAGTTTGACTCGCAGTCACACACGCCGCGCCCCGCCATCGAGATATCTCGAGATATCGAACGGGAGACATCGAACAGCCGCCCCTCGAGTTATCGAACGGAAAGCCCCGAGTGCAGCGCGTTACCGTCCCTCATCTCACCCGAATGAAAACGCAGCGGACTGGGTCACGACCTCCCCTCCCCTCCCTCCCTCTCTCCCCCACCCCTCACTCGCCCTCCCCAGAGACGGTAGCGCCCCGCCCGAACAAGAAAGGAAAGAATATATCCGTAAAGAAAGGGAGACAGTGAGAGAGAAAAAGAGGGTTGGTTGCGGTTGAATGGTGCCGCCACTAGAGTTGCTTGGCTGCGTCCATCTCTCTCTATCTGCTACGCCGCCAAAGAAATTCATCAGCGACGGCCACGCTCCGCCACTCCGCGGACATCTCTTTTATCGTGTGTCAGTGTCCTTTCCGTCCGCCAGAGCGCGCAGGTGCGCTCCGGCATTTCCTCTTCTTCTTCTTCTTCTTCTTCTTCTTCTTCTTCTTCTTCTTCTTCTTCTTCTTCTTCTTCTTCTTTTTTCTTCTTCTTCTTTTTCTCCTCCTCCTCCTTCTCCTCCTCCTCCTCCTCCTCTTCCTTCCCCCTCCCGCTCACCGCGGCCGCGGCACACACAAATTAAGCTCCATAAATAATGGCGCCAGTGACACCGCTGCCAACCTAAGGTTCCTCATCACACAAGTTGGAGCGCCGCTACATATTTCACAGGTTGGCACTACTGTTGCGCGCGAGACCGCGCGAGACCGCGGCGCGTTGGTAGAACTGGCAGCGACACACAATTAGGGATATCATTAAGGTGCTCCTTCATCCCAAAACAAGGGTTTCACATATCTTTTTCGGCCGCGGCGCCGAGCCGCACGGCCCGAATTTAATTACCAGTGAGTTGGTAACCCTGATTAATTCAGACACTGGTTCCCCCCAGTTTCCTTCATCGCGCCTTGGGCCCGTCTCGTTCCTGGCGCGGACTGTAGTACCCTCCTCCTGCACCGGTCAGCGGGGCGGAGTCGGAAAGGACCCAAAACACCCCAATAAATTAGAGAAAAATAAACAAGGGACTTATTAATTGAGTGCCAGGCCAGCCGCCTGTTGGCCCGACTTTTATTTCCGAGTTGACACCGAGTAGCGGATGACCAGCTGCCTAGGCATTCAACGTAAAAACGGGCTTCCTGATAAAACAACACAATCAACAACAACACAAACAACATTTCCAACAACAACAAGAGGGAATCAGCTGGTGGGGTCGGGTGGCTGGCCGGGCGGGCCTCGCGTGCGCGCAGTGCTCCGTGCACAGCCGTGGGTTCGAATCCCAGCGGAATCAATTATTGTTACAAAGCTGCCTTCGTGCCGAGCTCGCTGTGAGCTGGCAGTGGGCTTGGGACAGTAGCGCCGGGCAACTAGCTAAGTGGTCTTACCTGGCCGTGGTGCAGTCGCGGTACAGCGTGTCGAAGTCCTTGCAGGAGAGCAGCTTGCAGCGGTTGACGCCGGGCTGGATGGCGCCCAGGCCCCTCAGGATGCGGACCTGCTCCACGTTGCACACGAGTGGCACAATGTCCAGGCGCTTGAGCTTGGTGTACACGGTGTGCAGCCCGCCCACCAGGTGCTTCAGGAAGAGCTCGAAGGCCTGCGGCAGGCACAGCATGGTCTCGCCGTTGATCATGAAGGCGGCCACCTTCTGGCCGCGGTACGTCACCAGCTTGCACTCGTTGGCCGTGGGGTCCGAGCTGGAGATGGGCGGCGGGCTGTTGTACGACCGGGGCGGGTGGCCCGGGTGGCCGGCGGGGTGGCCGCCCGGGTGGCCGGCGCCGTGGGCTCCGGGGTGGCCCTGCGGGTGGCCCGGCGGGTGGCCGTGGTGGGCCTGGGCCTGCGCCTGGGCCGCCGCCATGAACTCCAGCGGGGACCCCATGAGCGAGTTGAAGAGCCCGAGTCCCGGCGGCCCGAGGTGCCGCATGGGCGACATGGGGTGCGGGTGCCCCGGCGGCGGCATGGGGTGCGGGGGGCCGTGGGGGCCCAGCACGTGCGGCGCCATCAGCGCCATGGGGCCCTCCATGTCCTTGCTGTTGATGTTGTTGTTGTTGTTGTTGTTGTTGTTGTTGGGCGTGGCGTCGCGCGGCGGCGTGTGCGGCGGCGAGGTTTCGCGCGGAAGCGCAGGCCCGGCACCCTTGCCGAGCGCCGCCGACGGCGAGGCGTCGACGCGCGGCGACGAGGCGTTGCTGCCGCGCTCGCTGGACGAGAAGTCCACGGCGCACTCCATGATCATAGCGCGCACGTGGCGGTCCGGCTGTCTGCCAGTCGGGCTGGCCGTCGGGCTGGCCGTCGGGCTGGCCGCGCCGGCCGAGGGCACCGGCAGGCGGACCGGCAAGCGGCACAGGGGCGTCGCGGCGGACTCTGCCTGGCTCATCCGCGGGGCTCGCACTGAGGGGCAGGACGCCGCGGAGGGCGCCAGTGGGGGCGGCGGGGGCCGCGGGGGGCGGCGGGGCCGGGCCGGCGCCCTGGCGCTAGCGCCCAAGTGGTGGGGTTGCGATGCCGCCGGGGGCGGCGCCTGCCAGAGGGTGGCGCCCAGCGCGGCCGGTGGGGGTAGCTGCCCGCCGCTGGAGGGGGCGCCTCGCTGCACCTGCCTGCCTCGCCGCGCCGCGCCCTCGCGGACTAGGGGCGGACCGGCCTGCTATTTTCCTTGAGCTGACATCCACACACGGACGACGGCCTGGTCTTAAGCCGGAGAGCGCGCACGCACACAAACACACACTGTATTGTTCAGCCGGAAGTAGAGGAGGAAGGTCCTTGCAGTGTAGGGCCCTCTGAGGTTCAATCTTGTTATTCTCAGGACTCAGCGAATGGTGACGCCGCGCTGCGGGGCTGCCGGCGCGGTCTGACCCGCCAGGCGGCGGTGGAGGCAGCAGACGACGCGTGGACAGCTGACAGTCGCCGGCCGCTTGTTGTTGTTTTTGTTTTGGAGGTTGGCACCGCCTCGCGGCCGGCCGACGGCACCGGTTGGTACCCGCTGGTACCCGTTGGTACCCCTGCCCGCGCTCGCTGCCGCGGCCGACTCGCTGGCTGCCCGGCAGGAGCAAAACTGATGAATACAAACATGAAGCCGGGCGGACATTACATCAGAGCGGGAGAGGGGGAAGGGGGGAAGCGGTGGAGAGCGCCGCGGCGGCAGAGGAAGAAGAGTCGCGGAAAAGAGGGAGCGCGAAACAGAGACAGATGTGTTTGGACAGCTAAGTGGAGGAGCGAGACGAAGAATGGACAGAATGGGACAGACAGACGCACAGACAGAGGTGAAGCGGAGAGGAAGGCATGAAAGATAAAATAAAAGAGGATGCAATAATCGTCATGAGGCGACGGCGGGAGGGGCAGGCGCGGTGGAGGGGGCCGCTGCCGGGAGGGGGGCGTCGCGCTGGTGGGGGGCCGGGCCAGCCGGGCCAGCCGGGCCGGTGGAGGGGGAGGGGGGGGGAATACGGAGCAAAGGGAAACCCCAGATGTCATTCCCGCGGTGCGGAGCGTGGCAGGGCCGGCAGAGCGCGGAGCCTGGCGCAGCTTGTCATTGGTCGGGCCGCCTCAGCCCGCCTCGGCCGCGCCGCGCCGCGAGCAGCCATTCGCCCCGGACGCGGCGCTGCGGCGGACGGCCGGACGGGCGGCCGGACAGACGTCACCGCCTTTGAGGAGAGGTGAAAGGGGATGAGAACTTGAATTACTCCAAGGCGGTGGCGCGGTGGCGCAAGGGGAAGGAGGTACGAAAATTTCCTCCTACGCATAGAGACAGTGACAGCAGAAGAGGCCGGAGGGGAGGGGAGGTACTCAGGGGCGCTGCTGGCTCTTTGGCTTGGCGGCATTCCCTTGCCTCCCTCCCGCCCAAACTACTCACAGACTCTGCAGCTCTCTCTCTCTCTCTCTCTCTCTCTCTCTCTCTCTCTCACGTCCACGGGGCGCCCAGCGGGTGCGAGGGCGAAAGAGACCGCGCAGCTCCTCGGTCCGCATTGCAGCCCATCTCGTGACCGCACTGCTACCAACTGCTGTCGGCCGGCCACGCCAACGCGCACCGAAATGGCGGGAAAAGGCGGTGTGTCCTTCGGCGTGCCCCTCGGGGCGCCGATTACCGCCGAGACGCGCGCACCACCGCAAACGCAACCATAAAATACAACTCACAGTTCCGCCCACCCGAACGCAATCGCTCTGTTTTGCATTGCCGCGGACACGCAACGCACCTGCTCCTTCTGTTGATTCGCTCCGCCACTGCACTGCTAGCCACTGCCCCTCCCTCCAGATAAGGTCACACTTATTTACTCGCCCAGTTGTGGCGACCACCGCGGATGGAAACGAAACGACACTCAGAAAGGGGCGGGAAAATGGAAAATTGTGGAAAGCCCGCCGTCGTGATAAGGGCTTGCCGTCTCCTTGGAGGGAATTACCGAAGTTATCTCGAATCTGCGGGACGTAAGTCGGCGAGCGCACAGTGGGCCAGAAGACCAGTGGAGGCAGTCAAAACCCCGGACGCTGTTTTGAGCTCCAGAGTCACTAAATGGGACTCGAAACTTACGAGTGACCCCAACAACGAATTACTCTCCGAACGAGGAGTCCATCGGTGGGATCATACGTTCGGTTCAAGTCCTAAAGCGACTCTGGAGCTCAAAACGCGCCTAGAGCTTTGACCGCCGCCACCGGCCTTCTGGCCCACTGTGCGGCTGCACAGTGTCGGGGAAACGCGAGTGCAGGAGACGATCACGCTCACCCAATAAGACGCGGTGACAGGAGACGGTATGAAAAATCGAGCTTCGCGGCGCCGCGACCGCCACGCGACACGGCCGGCATAGTAAGCGATACACCGCCGCCTTGATGTGGCGAGTGAGGGGGAACGTGGCAACGCGTAGCGGGCCGTGACTGCGTGCGACCGCAACGCTACCTGGAGCGACGGAGAGCGAGCGAGGGGGGAAAGAGAAAGACACACACTCGCCTGCAGCGCAGCGCATTGCGGCCCTACCCGCCGTGTCAATAGGGACCAAGCGCTGACGATCAAATGGCGCCCCGAGCTCAAGGGGGAGGGGACGGGGTTGCGGTTGGATGGGGCGAGCTGGAGCGAGCGGGGAGATACCGTCCAAGGTATACGGGAAGAAGAAGAAGAAGAAGAAGAAGAAGAAGAAGAAGAAGAAGAAGAAGAAGAAGAAGAACAACAACAACAACAACAACAACAACAACAACAACAACAACAACAACTCTATGGGTGTCTAACATAGCGTTGAAAATTTACTCCTGAGACTGCTGCCACTACTGGTATAGTGCTGCCACTGTGCAGACAACAGGCAAAAGGAGGAGGAGGAGAAGAAGAAGAGGAGGAGGAGGAAAGTAAGGCTGCGGAGTCACATTAGCCGCCGACAGGGTAATGAGTGCCTGACATTCTATTGGACTACTTTGTGGCGCGGTGCCTGGTGGACTGACTCGCCTACTGGCGCCTAGTGCCGCCCTGTCGGAGGCCCTTTAGTGGGGCTCTATGCGGGACACTTAGTCTGAAGGTGACCGCCCAGAAATGCGCCCAGGTTTACGCGGTTGGTTGGGCAGTCTGTCTGTGTCGCACTGGTGGGGCGTACGCGACACAGTGGACCAGAAGACCGGTGGAGGCGGCCAAAATTCCAGGCCCTTTCTGAGCTTCAGGATCACAACAGGACTCGAACCAAACGTGTGGCCTCACGAATGGATTCCTCGTTCGGAAAGCAATCCATTGGTGGGGCGCACCTTTCGCTCGAGTCCCATTTAGCGACTCTGGAGCCCAAAACGCGTCCAGGACTTCGACCGCCTCCGCCGGTCTTCTGGCCCACTGTGCGCGACTGCACGGCTCGCTGGAGCCGGAGACGAGGGTTTGAGCTGCTGAGTGAGTGCGCGCCGCGGTGGCTAGCCGAAAAGGTGTGCTCCCCGGTTCGCGTGTTTCACACGCAAACCGGCCGGTGAGTGTGCGTGTGCTGGCCCGTGTCAAACACGTGTGTTGTGGTGTGAGTGTGCGCGCGGCTGCCGGCTCACGGCGCTGCCGTGCTGCTCGAGTCGCCATCTAGCGGCGGGGCGGCGAACCAGGCGGCGAACCAGGCGGCCGGGCCCGCCGGCCAGCCGCGCCACCTTCAAACGAGTACGCCGGGGAGTCCCGCCGACACGCCGACTTCGACGAGCCTTTCCCCGTTTCCAACAGTGGATTTGGCGCGGCGGGTCGCGCGGGCAGCGGCGCAAATTAAAACACACACGTCCTGACAGTGTCGTAAAACGAGATGGCGGTGCTTTAAATAATTCCTCCATGCGCTGTCACGGGCGGCGCGTTACGAGCGTGTCGGGAAAGTGACTTTCGGAGCGGAATTCAATTTCTGGACAATACGGGTAGAACCATGTCCAGTGTGAACGACTCCATTAAGGGGCAATTAATTTAAGGCAGTGCGAGCATCCCATCACGTCATAATCGACGGAACCCAATATTGTAATTACTTTTAACTCTGACGTAATTAAGTCCGCGGTAAGGTTACCCGCCCTGGTGTTGGAAACAAATTGGTTCAATGAGCGAAATTTTCTACCCCTACTTTTTTGGTTCGTTGTGGCATTTTTAGCAGTGTACTGCCCTGCAAACCCTGTGAAGCCCCCTCACCGCTCCATGACCTTCGCGCATGGCGCGTCGATTGTTGTCAATGGCTAATCAGGCACTGGGTCGAATAGGCCTGCTTCACACACTCAGTCACACACACACACACACACACACACACACACACACGTTATTATTCGGATTGTTGTTATCGCAGCACTGATAAGGCCACCAGTAGCTCGTCGCCCCCCAACAATGGCGATACACGGAGATAATTCGGACTGCAGCGCTCGCAGTGCTGCACCGCCCCGCGCGCTGTGTGGCAGCACTGCATTGTTGTGCCCTCGTCTCTCTCTCTCTCTCTCTCTCTCTCTCTCTCTCTCTCTCTCTCTCTCTCTCTCTCGTGCTTGTGGGTGGCATATGTTCATCACGATGCGTGCGAAACGTGGAAAGGACACTCCAACAAAATGCGTACATTGCATCGATCGACCAAGTGG